ATAAGTCGTCTGCAATCGATTGCAATATTAAGCATCAGTTTGTAGAGACAGACAGTTTCTTGCAAATTATTAGTAGAAAGCTGCACAGTCGAAATTGCGCAGTGCTACTGTAATAGGTTCTATACAATATTCTCTTAGAAAGTCGTCTCAACAGCAAATTTCTGAAATAAAACGTTATGTTATAAAAAAAATAGCTCTACGCTGGTTTATTTTTTTTTTTTATACTAGTGTAGTGAGAGGTCGATTTTTTGCGATGACGAAGTTATCGTGCAATCATTAGGCTAGTTTACTTACCACTGCTAAGAAAGATTTTCGTCATCTTGTTATTCTCAAAAGCGAGAGAAATGTACCTTCATATGAAAGGTACCTGTGGTCATTCTCACTATAAAACTTCATACATAAAATCATTTATTTTACGATAGATTTTGGATAAGGATGGAAGTAGAAAAAAACATTTGAGAAAATTGATGTGGATGTAAGGAAAGAATGGGGAAAGAGAGAGAGAGAGAGCGCAATAGAGATAGAGAGAGATGAGATTGTAAAGCAATCGAAAGTTGCTTTGTACTCCGAAAAACACAAATAAAGATTACTGCGTAAGTGTATATTTCATGATAGTGATGTGGTGATGTGCATAAGTGATCGAAAACAGTCAGTAGCCTACATGTTTTTTTCACTGTTGGCAGAAGTCCAGTTTTTTTAAATTAATTGAGTGTATTGTTAGATTATGTACGCACACATACACGCACACGCACGCACACACATACACACGTATGTATAATTTCGATCAATTAGAAGATGGCATTGTCAAATTTTTTATAAGAATTTTTCCATATGGCGCGCGCAGGAACTAACTGCAAAAGATTACTTGCAAGTCAAATGTTATTTATACAACTTTTTTTCTCAAATTTTTTCATGAAATGAATTATGAAATTCACCTAGAATATACGAATCAAGTGATCGGTGGATATTTGTTTTCTACTAATTCATCTACCTATGAAATTCGATAATTGCGAATTTTCTAAAAATATTTTACATAGTTTGCATAGATCGCAGCAGCATAAAATATGACGAGGACATTCGTATTACCTAAAACCAAAAATTACACAATGGAAAGTAGACTTATATGTGGATTTTCACAGAATATAATTGCACCCACCGCGCTGAAATTCTCGTACGAAACCACGATTATCTTGCCGGCCGTTAACTGCGACGGTTTTAAGCATCTCATCATCATCAAGATTACTAGCTTTTTCGCTGCATTCGGCATTTCATACCACTTCATCTTATATCTGTCAACGCAACAAATTATTGTTATTTTATAGGCTGTATCCGACACTTATGTGCTGGGAAGTTAGTGTTACTGACTTTGCAATTTTTGCGATTTTAGGAACGTATATCTGATATTGTATTAAACTTACATGGATTGATACAGCATTTCGTTGGAATCTATGATTCTCTGACCTTGCCAGTTCTCAAAAAACGTATTAAGAAGAATCCCATTAAGATAAATAAAATATTGCGATGCACGGTTCATGTCTTCGATATTTGTAATCATCTGCAAAGGGGTATATCTCTTGATTGAGATTACTGGGTAATAATTACCGTATTTTTTTCAATATATTATACGAAAATGCACCTGGAATCCTACGATACTTATAATCAACATAACACAGCCCATATGGACGAGAAGAGGTAGCCTGTACAATGACTCCAGGATATCAATAAATCTGCCGTAATATGTGAGATTGTATTAATTTATCATCACTTATTTGCTATTTATCTATTACCAAGGCTGGGAAATAACCCGTCATATTTGTAACTTCATTACAAATTACTTTCTCTTAATAACAGATAAGAAAAGACTTAATTTCTGCATTAATAACGGTAACAGCAATTAGTTTTTGTCTAATAACGAATGTAATTATATATATACATGTATGGGCTGCGCATTGTAAAAAATATCTTTATAATTTTGTGAAATATGTGACAAAAATCGTAACATCTCATTACTTCTTAAGTTATTTTTTATGACAAGCAACGGTAAAGACAGCAAGTCGCTTTTCTAAATACATAACGAGCGACGGCGACGAGTTACTTTTAATAAGTTTTCCCAAACCTGCGTGTCACCATCGTGAAAACAATAAATGATCATATATACTAACTGTATCGCTTCAGTGTGTCTTTGAATGCTGTAAGCAACAATGGAGTAAGATTTACCGTTCTTCGTGACGTTCTTTAATAGATCGTCGAAATCTTTCAAATTGCACGCATTTTCCAAGTTGTACCTAAGCCACGATGTTATCCGGAAATAAGAAAATTGGTTTTGGCATTTTTGTCAACGCAAAGGCTAATCTTCAAACGGCATCCGGCCACGTTTTTATTTCTCAGTATCGAGGTATAATCATGGAAGTAATCACGCGGATTCTCACCTCAGAGCTGCGATCAGGCCGCAGTAATATTGAACAGATGTAAAATACAAGACATCGACTGCGCACAGGAATGTCATGTATGTTATTTCGCACATGGCTGTGTGTAAAAAAATCGGGACGTAATATGTGTCTATGTCGACCATATAATTAACGCGAAAAGGTAAACCCACATGGGCGCTTGATGTTTCATTTGTCCCATTTGATTCCACGTACGTAAACTTCTCCAACAAACTCTCACTTAGATAGAGGATGGAATGTCCATACAAAACAACTGGTTGGGGATCGAATACGTCAGATTAATTGCATCAGTCGAAAAATTCGGCTCAAACTTTTTGAACTGTCAGTTAAGAGGTTCGTTTGGATTTTATAGAGAAACTTGAATTTATCCATTATTGCGTTCAATAATTCGTCGATCAAATTATCGCCGTCATTGTCTGATATTTTACGTTTTGACAGCATTCGTGTGCTATAAAGTACACTTTAGTGTATTTTACGTATATTACTTAAGTTTCACTTTGCTATAAAAGTTGACTGCGGTTCAAGAAGAAGTTGCTTCACTTTTCACTGACTTTAACTTTTGACCGAAGATTTCAATTGACTTAATTTATAGTCAATTGCATTCTGTAACGATAATAAACTCATGTTTCAGTCACATTTAGTCGATACATTTACCTGTGTACATGTAGCCAAACTTTTGCCCATATGATGCATAGGAATACAGAATTGCAGTCTCTTCATCCGTCTTCGGGGAAATCCAATGCTTTTTTATTTTCATCAGCATGAGCTTGACCTGTAATTTCAAGTTAATCTAATTCTAAATGCATTGTTTCTTTTTCACCTCCCAATATTATGGGCGTATAGGTGTATCTTACCGGTTGACGCATAATCATATCGATTAATCAATTAATCGCATCAATTATCGGCCAGCCGTTCTAACTTACACACCTTGGATAAGGTACACGCAACGCAGATCGCTTTCCCTATGACGAGCGTAATGTAAATCGTCAATGTTGTAAATTTTATTATCTCTTCAGAGTCGTTCCGAAATTCGATAATAGCCAACACCTAAATTCGCCACAGATTACATTCGAGCGTTCGTCACTTATCCGCATTGATTGGGATTTGAGATATTAATTTCTTGTTCTATTATTCAATGGACTTATGTGAGAAGTAACTGAGATTCGAACAGCCGAGTCACTCGAGTTCAAATTATTTTTACTCTTACAGAGTGAATTTTCCATTGTAAATCGTGGAGTTAATATTTTCAATCGAAATTGGAAAATGAATCTGATACATTCCACCCTTGGAGGTACACGCTCCAGTCTATCGAAACATTCTTTCATATGGAGTCAGACTTCAATCTGACCTTAAGTGAAACATTCACTCTTATGGAGTAAAAAAATATTACTACTTTTCACTTCAAGAAATTTAGAAAACAAATTTTATTGCATTCTGTGCGCTATAGCCCTAACTGTAATGCCAACTTGCCGAACTTTCCGTTAAACAGTAGAAATGAACATGCAAAATGCAAAATGATATGCGTAATAACGAGGTGCGTCTTCTCTCTGTACCTGGGACGTAATGCTAGATCCGTTCAGTAATAACAATCCGCAGTATATTGCGTAACGAGAGGCTTTGCTTTGGAAAGGCCACAGACCGCTTAAATTCAATAAAAGTCGCACAATATTGTAGTGCGATTCTCGAAAGAACTTATCGACGTTGTCCATTTCGCCTCTTTGCCTACCGCTGTCCTGCCGGTGAAATTTGCTGATGAAAAATTCCGTTTCAACGTTGATTGCCCTGCACGTCGCGAAGTACAGGCGCTATTATACTGTTACATTCACGTCAGTAAGTCGTTCGTGATCGATTACGACAGCCGGTATCTGTTGCAGCTGGGCTTTGTGTTTCCAATTGAAGGTTGAAAATTACATGTTGGAGACACGCATAATGATATGTACTGTGGTATACTCCCTTTTTTCTCTCTTGAAAAATCATTTAAGTTGCAAATTACTGTGAAAGAAGGTTGTTACTGATAATTTCCTTCTTTCTATAGTCTATTTCTGGTTGCAACGCGGGGAAACGTAGTATCGTGATATTGTTTGAAAATGGTGCTTCACTTACCGCCGTACATAAAGATATTTAATGGTTCTTGCAAGACCCAACCAAAATTGTAAAAATACCAATTACATTTTTCTCAATTTATGTGATCACAGGATATTTTGCAAAACGCATAACTAATTAATTAATTAAAACAGGAAACAGTTTTATACACAAGGCATTCATGATCGTTCATCTACGTTCCCTTAAATAACTTATACGCGTTTTACGAAAGTTTTACTTTCATTTTATTCTTTAGATATTATCCTTAAAATTTTTCTATACTTGTTTTGCCAAGGATTATTGGGAAAAATTATATGTTCCTATCTTTAATTATTCTATATAAATATCGACAATATATTTTAACTATTATTTAAGTAATGAAGTACACATCACTTTTGGTCGCTTTTGGTTCTCACTAGTGAGAATAGTGTGTTTGTGTAGCGTGCGGAACTTGCGGCACCCCTGTGCCATTTACATAATTATCATAATAAACTTTATTGTTAACTTCATTTGGATTTTACCAGAGTGAATTCCTATAGTATTATCAAATTTTTATAAGAATTTTTCCGTTTGACAAGAACTAACGTAACTGTAAAAGATTATTTGCAAAAGATTATTGACAAATATTATTTATACAAATTTTTTTTACGTTTTATTTATTCACGTATGAAGTTCCTAAAATGTACATAAAATCACTTAAATGTACAAATCAAATGATTGGTGGATATCTATTTTCTACTAATTCAGCCAACTGTGAAATTCGATAATCGTGAATTTTCTAAAAATGTTTTACGTAGTTTGTACAGATCGCAGCAGCATAAAATATGACGAGGACATTCGTATTACCTAAAACCAAAAATTATACAATAAAAAATAAGCTTGTACATGCTTCACTTTCACATAATACAATAGCACTCACCGCACTGAAATTCTCATATGACATCACGATAATCTTGCCGGCCGTTATCTGCGTCGGTCTTAAGCTTCTTAGCATGATCAAAATTACTAGCTTTTTCGTCGCACATGACATTTCATACCATTTCATGTTATATCTGTAACAGATTATTTTTATTTCATACGTTATAAGATGTATCCGACATTTGTGCGCCAGGGACTCAGTTTTACCAATTCTACAATTTTTGCGATTTTGGATATATATTAAACGTATTCTATTAAACGTACATGGAATGGTACAACTTTTCATTGGAATCTATGACTTTCTGACCTTGCCAGTTCTCGAAAAATGTTCCAATAAGACACACACTAAGATAAAGACAACTTTGTGAAAGGCGATTCAGGTCGTAGATATTTGTTATCGCCTGCAAGGAAATGTATCACTTTATTGAGATCATTGCATAATTATTACCGTACGCTTTTCAATATACGAAAATGCACCTGAAATCCTATAATACTTATCATCAACATGATACAACCCATATGGATGAAAAGGGGTAGCCTGTACAATGACTCCAGGATATCAATAAATCTGCCGTAATATATGAGATATTAATATTAATATTAATATTAATATTAATATTAATTTATCACAGTACGTATTTACTATTTATCTATTATCAAGGCTGTGAGAAGTAACACGTCA